TTAGGTGTATTTGAACCGCATTTATAACATTTTCGATTGTTATAATGGTTATTGACTTCACTTGCAAATTTTTGGTACTCCTCTTTCTCTTTGGGTTTTATCATTTTAGGGGTTAAAAAATTTCAAATTTTGGAAGTATCAAAAAATACCGGTCTGCCCGATTTAGTCCTTTATATTTTACTTTAATATTAAACATAAAGAAATTAAAATGATAAATACTTAGTGATAATATAAAGCTTTAATTCTTTTTTGGGTTGTTTTAAATTTTATTCATATTAAAAAGAAATATTTTTAATTAATATTTTTATATCTAGCATGAATCTTATTTATCATTTCTTCTACAGCGTTTAATTAAAAAACAAATTTATAACTTTTAGACACACAGTATAAAAAACGATTGCATATCTACGTTATGTTATCATATATAAACATCAAATCATTTATGCAAATAATCTTTTAGAGAAAACACAGGAATAATTATTATAAAAATATTTTAATTGAATAATTATAAAATAAATTTTTAGAACTTTAAAATAATACTATGAACTTGCAATTGGAATAAATCATATGTTACTAATTGTTTAAATTGGAGTTTGTATGATAAATAAAAAAAATTGTTGATTCCTAAGGTATGAAGCGATACTTTCTTTACTGTGTGCTGTTACAATAGAATATTTCTACATCAAATTCTAGTGGGAGTTTTAATTTGAAAAGAAAGAAATCTGGCTACAATGGTGATGGGGATGATTTTGGAAATTCACGTAGTGGGTCAATGGATTCGAAATACTATGATGAGAATTTTTTTACTACAGAGAAAGCTGAGCTCTCTATGAACGGGATTAAAAGGATTGCTTTCTTTTTGTAACCTGTTGATGAACCGTTAAGCGAATATTTTGGTATTAAAGCTAAAAATTGAAAGCCATTGTGTCAGGAAATGCTGGAGGATTGTTGTCGAAACTTTTTTTTTAAATATCATTTTCTTGGTGAGAAATTTGTAAATGATGATACAGTTCTAGAGGCTTCTCGAAATTTTTTTGATATCTCAGAGGCCAATAAAAATGTCAAGATTATGTAGATATGTGGCGCTACTTCATCTTTCCACCCCTTCCCCATTATTGCAGAAAATTAAAATATTTATTTAAAAGATTATTAGTTAAAAAGAATTAGTTCCCAGACACTTTAATTAATTTATAAAATGCTACCTTTAGCGTCTTGTTATCGTTATTTGGGATATTTTTTTCTCCACTTCCATTCATTTAAAAAAAAATTAATTCTCTTTCTATCAATATAATAACGCTACGTTTTCGAAGCGCGCGCACTTAAGATGTGACTATGGGTTTTCAATTTAGTTCGTATGTGCTCATTGAACATTAACAAACCCAACAGAGTGGTTTACCACTTCATGGCAAGATCCAAATTTAGCAACGTCCCCGGGGTAAGATGGATAACCATCAATAACAATGATAAATCCGGGTACAACATGTTCATCAAACATGCCTAGTATAGTCAGAATCTTTCTGTTGGGAACAAGCTTTGAAACAAAGTTCCTATAATTTCCCTTTTCTACACCACCCACTAACCATTGTACGTTAGGTTTGTTGTCTAGAAAACTGGATGGGTTAGGTATTAACTTAACTCCGCATTACAGATAACAGTTTCGTCAAACTGCATCCCAATACCTTCTCGGATCAGTGGCATTTTCATGTCCAAAAATTGACCAGTGATATTTTTATGCCCGATGGGCATAAAAATGTTTTTTAAATGGGGTAAAACTTAATTTTTCAAAAAAAATAATATATAAATTTTAATTCAATAATTAATATTATCATTTCGAACCCGTCTACTGTATTATTAAATTTCCAGCTAAATTTAAAAATACTTATTTAAGCTCTTTTTTTATTTCTTTTCTTTTTTTATGTCTAACTTAAGCGAATTGTTAAAAGACTCCACAGCCTGCGTATTGTCACCCGTTTCTGGGTTTATAAAAGTATACTTATGACAGACCGTGTCATGAACGAATCCCATGTTGCTAAGTGCAGAATAGCTTTTATGCTCATCAGTATGTATTATACTATTAGATGCAACATTAGCACAGATTATTGGTAAAATAGCTGAAGCTTTTTTATTCTCTATAACACAAGCAAAAGCTCTGTTAATGTTTTCCTCAAATTCAACAATGCATAAGGCATTGGTTTTATTTGCAGGAATTTCCCCCCCCCCTGTGCCTAAATACTGTGATTAAGTGCCGTTTCATAATAAATAAAAACATTCAAAGTTATTGTGACATCGGATGTAGACGATTTTTTGTTTTATATTTCTCTCAAACACAAAAATAGTGTACGTTTATTAATTCTAAATTTTATATTTTTTGTAACATTTTTATGCTCAAAAACCAATCAATGGCATATTTATGCTTGTTGGGCATAAATATGCCACTGGTCCACCCTCTCACCTAATTTAACCATTTCTGGCTCTTGCTTAGAAATTACTTGCAAAATCAAATCTTTGATTTAAATATAAGTAGTCTTCGAACAATCGCATAAATCAATGGCCCGAGTTGGGGTATAATCATATACCCAGCAATATATTCCCCCACGAATTTTAACAAATTCTATATTCAGAGAGGCCATTTTAGACCCCTTCTTTAGGCTTGCCTTTGATCTGCATGCTTTAGAAGAGCATCTGTAAGCATACCCATCCATATACGTGGCAACCACCATAATCCTCATTCTTCTATCACACCCCAAACAACTTATTTTTGTTTATAAAATGTTATAATTTATTATTTTATTAAACTCCAATTATGTTAAGCACTAATATGGAAGCGATACAAACAGTTGGGTTGTCAAATGATGACTGTGGCCAGGAGGCTAGAAGAGTATTGGAAGAGCTAGAGATTTTGATGTATGCTTTGGAATTAGAAATTGTTGAGGAAGAGTTCTGGAAGAATGGGATTTTTGAGAGGGCGA